CCAGCCTGGTCAACAGGGTGAAACCCCATCTCTACCAAAAATATAAAAATTAGCCAGGCGTGGTGTCAGGTGCCTATAATCCCAGCTACTTGGGAGGCTGAGGCAGGAGAATCACTGCAACCTGGGAGGTGGAGGTTGCAATGAGCCGAGATCGCACCATTGCACTCCATCCTGGGCAACAGAGTGAGACTCCATCTCAAAAAAGAAAAAGAAAAACATGCCTGGCCTTTTCTGGCTCTCCTAAGAGCACTCTGTGCCCCTTATTCATCTTCAGGATGGCAGCTGGAGTGTTTTGAGCTGGCCAGGCCTCTCTACCTTTGACAAAGACAAGATCCCTTGGTGAAGTCAGTCTTTCAATTGCATGGGCTCCCTGCCGTTCTGAGTTCTCCCCAGAGCTCTAACTGCAGCCTGCTTTTTATATTGCAATTCAGGTCACACAATGCCTTTATCACTGCAGAAGAATAGAAAGTAAAGAGTTTACTTCCTGGCCTCCTTCCACCTGTTCCATTTCTAGTTGTTTGGGAAGAGGGTGAAAGGGTGTCTGGAGTCCTAGGAAAGGTTCATTATGGGAACTAAATATTTCTGCAGATACAGGACAGAAGGTGGGTGGAGGTGCAGACCTGCAGGACTTCAGGGACATGAGGATGAGGCGTGCCACAGTGGAGGATCTCACCCTGATTTCCAAGGGAAATTCTTTAAGATGGACAATCTGTTGTCTGGGAGAGAAACCAAGAAGCACAGCACAAGGAAGGCCCAGCACTGCCTGGGTCACACTGGGTCCTGTCAAAGCCGAGGGCCAGGAGGGCTGACCCTCCACAACAGAGAACTGGGCAGGCTGACCTGTAAGCGGGTGTGGCCATAGCCGCAGCCAGCCCCCAGCATCCCCAGGCCAGGCCACCATCTTTCCAAAGTTTCCCAACAGGATGGAGGGGCTGGTTTCGTGGGTGCCTTGTGGGCCTATGACAGGGAGAGGTGGAGTTTGCGCACCCTCCAGGAAAAAGGCTTGTCACCCACGTTCTTCTGCCACCCCATCGCCTTTAAGACTTTCCAGATCTTGAGCAAACAGGGGTTTTCATCTATTTCTCAACCAGCTCATATCCAAGGAGCAGCAAACCACTATGTGGTATCATCAGGGATGAAACACCGTGTTCATTCTCAGCTCACATGATGTGTTCTTGGGTCTAGTTCCAACATAGTCATTCTTTGTGGTTTCTCTGTTGTTTTGAATACACTGTTTTTTTTGTTGTTGTTGTTGTTGTTGTTGTTTTTGTTTTTTTAGTTTTTTCTTGGGGAGGTACTACAAAAGCTGTCAGAGTAAGGATAAATCTCCTAGCCAGCTGGAATTTTTTAACTCTTGTATTGAATATGAAATACACACAGAAAAGTATGTAGACCATAAGGAAAGAGCTGGATGCACCTCACAAAGTGACAGCAGCATCCACACCAAGGACCTGAGCGTGCCCACAACCCCTCCTGCCTCTGTCCAGCCATCTTCATCCCCCACAGGGCACATAGTCTGATACCTTAGCAGGCTGGAGTTTGTCCTCAGTTCACATGACAACCTGACCTGCAGCTGCCCTCGGTTCAGAGCAATTGAAGCTGCAGGGCTCAGCAGGATTGATGCGGGACCGATTTCCTGCGGGGAGAGTCCATGTCACATCATCCCCAGCCTCTCTCTCGTGATGGCACCTCAGCCATGCTAAGCCCAGCAGACATTCAGCTACTGCTTCGGCACCCCAGGAGGAGTGCAGAGGGATGTCGCTGGCCCCTCTGGCAGTCAGATAGTCCTCCTGTCTCCAGGGAGGGGCCATCCATGCAGTCAGCCTGGTGACCCAGCTATGAGGAGACAGGGGTAGAGCTCCCTTTCTTTGTACTTCTAGAAGTCCTACCATAGGTGCCAGTTGGGGGGTGGCCCCTGGAGAATGACTCAGCAGTGTATGTGCATCGAAGCTGAGTTCTACACTTGAGGAAAACCAGCATGGAGCCTTTGGTTGGATTTGCCCCATTCAACGTGGCCCTTACTGCTTAGAAACCATTTCCCTCCAGCACTTATGCTGGGCCCTTTGTCTACCTGTGCAACTCTGAGCACAGGTTCCAGCTGCCAGCCAGGACCTAAGAAGGAATTTGCCTCTTGAGCTGTCTTCCATCTGTCCTCCCCTTTGCATCCCCTTCGAGGGCTGACTCCACATCACATGTGCCTGTGTCACTAATAAAAACCAGACTTGCTTTTGTGCTTACCCCATGCATGTCCATGCATCATTAGACTCTGCCCTCTGCTTCCTCAGCAAAGAGCAGCTCTAATTGTGTGGGGCAGGAGGGACAGAGGGCTGGCCACAGCTGGTGGTCAGGAAGAAATGCCTCTGGACCAGTCAATACAGCTGCACTGAGAAGCCCACCCTTGGGGAACACCACGTCATGATGAAGGGGCAGTTCAGATTTTCTTCCAGCCAGGCGCAGTGGCTCACAACTGTAATCCCAGCACTTTGGGAGGCCGAGGGGGGTGGATCATCTGGTCAGGAGTTCAAGGCCAGCCTGGCCAACATGGTGAAACCCCATCTCTACTAAAAATATAAAAATTAGCTGGGCATGGTGGTGCATGCCTGTAATCCCAGCTACTTGTCAAGATGAGGCAGGAGAATCGCTGGACCCAGTAAGCAGAGGGTACAGTGAGCCGAGATCAAGCCACAGCAGTCCAGCCTGAGCGAGAGTGAGACTCCAAAAAAAAAAGATTTTCTTGACACAGTGTCTCTCTATTCCCTGTCACTATCTCATTCTGCCCAGGAGGGCTATAACAGAGACAGAGGACCCCACGGAGATAGGATTTGTGTTTCTGTCATGACTGAGAGGCCAGCAGAAGAGATGGGGCAAGTTTCCTCTGATCTGGCTAAACAGATCTTGGGAACCATTGGTCAGTGATTCTCTGATAAGACTGCACCTAAGAATTACTTGGGGAGTGCGTTAAAAACACAGGTTTTTCAGGTTCCCTCCCTTTCCCAGGTTCAGGTCAAGGCCCAGAAATCTGCATTTTGGGGAAGCATTCCAGGTGATCCTGATGTGGGTGACCCCAAGCTGTAGTCTGAGAAACACTGGTCTAAACAACCCCTCCCCCAAGTTATAGATGGGGAAAGCGAGGTCCCGGCGCTGAAATGCCTCACTGGGGATTGCACGGAAGAAAGCCCAGAACCCAAGGGCCACCTTCTGTCCATGTCTGTCACCTCTTACACGCGGAACCTGCCCAAGCGGCCCTGTGGCCCAGAATCTGCAATTCTCACTTTGTAAGGTCTCTTGTCCTAGCCTTGCCTTCCCCTCACTGCCACTACTGTAAACCGGGTGTGAAGACGCCGAATGGGGGTTCTTCGCGGGCTGAACCCCTTCCTGCGTCCCTCCCATCCTTCCCCTCCACCCCCTGCCACCAAGTAACTCTTCCTGAAACACAGCCTTACTCCTTTCCCTGCCCCTCTAGGAGCAGGACAAACTGGGAAAGGCCTGCCCTTCCCGCCCACACCTCCCATTTGACCCAACCTATCTCCTTGACCTTAGAGCCCGTGACGTCCCTATAAACCCTTCTCCACATGCTTTCCTCAAACACCACCTTGCTCTTTCTTGCTTCCGCTCATGTGACACCATCATCACCTTGGCCAACAGCACCTCCTCCCCCTTCACTGACTCTCCCTCCTCTTCCAAGGCCCAGGTTAAAAGCCTCTTCCTCCAGGAGGCCTTCCCTGACCATCTAGCCCTAGCACACACATCCTCCTTTGAGCACTCAGCGCTCTGAAGCATTGGTTTATGATGTTATTATTACCTCTCATGTTCTGCTTTGAACTGTGAGCTTTAAGTAATTCCCAGCTATGGACCACAGCCTACCCTTCTATTAACCACACACTTAGCAATGTGCTGCGCACATAATGAGTGCATAAGGAATGTTAGCAGGAACGGAGCCATTCGGTGCCAGGGCTGAGGGGACCTTGACCTGCAGGTAGCTGGTTGGTCAGGTCAGCGACTTTTCTAGGCATCTTGGGCTGGTGAGCCTGCAAAGGCTGACCTTTGCAAATTGGCATCAGATCTTTCTCTGGATGGCGATTCCACTGCAGTAATCACCTTCCTGCCCGCCCCCACCCACAGCCATTACAGCCCACGACTTCAACTTTGGCCACCTCCCTGCTTGCTTAAAATGCCTCCTGGGCCAGCGAGTCAGTTCCACCCTTCCGCTACCAAAACAATTGATGTTGTGCATCTTCTGTGGCTGCACCCCAACAAGACGTTACCAACATTCCCGCACTTGCCAGGGGACTTGGGTGCCCGGCCTGCCATATCCATTCCAGCCAATGACTGATTTCTAATTCACTGCGACTCTCCAGCTAAGCAGATTTCCAGCTGCTTATCTTGCAGGCCTGTCAGACGGTGCAAACAAGCTCTTGAGACAGTCCCACAGGTAGCCCAGACAAGAAGCACACTGGGTGTTCCTCTTGCTCCATTTAAGACAAGCATCCCTCTTTTACTAAGGACTGGCCCACACCTCTGCATCCATCGCTAGCTTACCATCATGGCAACAAGAAGTTAATTTGAGACACACTGACAGCTTAAGTTCTGGGACCTGAGCCAAACTTTCAGAAAGGAGCCCTTTCTTCTTTGTTTGCTGTAGGACACGTGTCCTGTGAGGGAGAAGGGCTCTCTCCTGCCCAGGACCCTTGCAGTGGGGCACGTTACTTCCGAATCTTGGAGGTTTGGTAGAAATCCTTGCAGGAATCAAGTCTTAACGCTATGATTCACAGTTCTAGTGCCCAGAGCAGGCTCGCCTGCTTGGAGAAAGTGCAGTGAGCAACTCAAGTCGATGTGACGTGTTCTTGGGAGATGCCTTTTGTCCTCTCTTTCTACAATACCAAACTGTTCTTCTGACCCCTCAATATAACCTCCACAGAGCATGAATTTTCTGTTTTTCTCATTAAGTACAACCATTTCTTTTTTCTTTTAAACAAAAAGTATTTAAAATCTCTACTTACCAAAATAGGTCCACTTGGAACCTATAAAGAACAAAACACAGTAAGTAAGTACAATAGAACCAGATGAATAAGGGAAGAGACTACAGATTTTATTTTGATATGAGTGAAACTGAAAAGGAGGTCGATGCCCAGAAATGGAAACTTCTCTGAGTCTGCATCAGAGCAACAGCTTCTCAAGAAAACTGTGCTCTGGACAGAGGCACAGGGGCTCATGGAAACCAGAGGGGGCTTCTTGAGTAGGCACCTTCCAGACTCCTTAGAGAAGCCAAGCTTTATTATCTGGACAGGTAATAATTTCATGTGGCTCAAAACCCAAAAGCCATCAAAGGGTATATACAGCAAAAGCTCCCTGTTTCCATTAGACAATGAGGTTAGCTGATGATGGGGCCTTTCATGGCATGGCTACACATACGTATGTATTGATCCCTCTTTCTCCTTACACAAACATTGGCATACTGGAAACAGTTCTGTGTCTTGCTTTTTCCCACTTAACATTTTCTCCTTCCTTCCTTCCTTCCTTCCTCCCTTCCCTCCTTTCTTTCCTCTTTCTTTTTCTCTCTTGCTCTCTCTCTTTCTCTCCCTCCCTTCCTCCCTCTCTTCTTTCCTTCCTTTCCTTTTCTTTCTCTTTTTTTCATTCTTTTTGTGAGACAGGGTCTCACTCTGTCACCCAGACTGGAGTGCGGTGACTTGATCTCAGCTCACAGCAGCCTCTGCCTCCTGGGTTCAAGCCATCCTCCCACCTCAATCTTCCTAGTAGGCTGGGACTACAGGCACACACCACCACACTGGCTAATTTTATATTTTTCATAGAGATGGGGTTTTGCCATGTTGCCCAGGCTGATCTCAAACTCCTGGGCTCAAGCGATCTACCCACCCCAGCCTCCCAAAGGGCTAGGATTACAGGCGTGAGCCATATCGCCCAGCTGGGAAAAAGTTTCTCTTTGAGGAAGCTGCTACCCACATCTGAGTTAGAATTCCAGGGGCAGTAGAACTGTATAGGCAAAGTTCTGCCAGAAAGAGAACAAAAGTTACCTACTTCTTCTCACTCCACACCCTTCATGCACAAAGGTTCTTCATTCCTATGTCAAAAAGGTCTTTTTCACAAGTGCAGAGCTGTGCTCTTGTGCCCCTGCCTGCCGGCCTTCCTCTTCACTTGTGAGGAAGGGACCCTGAGTAGAGCAGTATCCCTCTACGCTTCTCAGGGGTCTCATCCAATGAGGGGACTGTGCAACCCCTAAATCCCTCCCTCCCGGCTTCTCCCAGGGTCTCGGTGGTACTTGGCCCACAAGGGTACAGGTGGAAAAGCGTACCCATGTGGGGAAGCACCTCACATCCCCTTTCTCTCGTGGGAATTAGTTTGCAGTAAAACATCTGACAAGCAATCTGGTCACTTATCACTCCTGGCTGTTTCTTACCCAAGCAAATTGTGTTTTTTAAAAGTTAAAAATCAACTTGGCCTTTTTTTAAAGCTAGTTTAATCTCATAGTTTTTGTTATTTCTTCCATTTCTTTGCCTCAGGGTTTGTAATTAATTTTGTTTTTAATTTTCAAATGTAATTGGTAATTTTTATCAAAGTACACTTGTACATGGTTTAAAAAGTCAGATGGTTCTACAAGGCTGTTTAACAAAAACCTCAGCTCATTCCCTAACCATGCAATGTTCCCTAGAGCAACCATTCGGATCTTTTTCTTTTCTTTTCTTTCTTTTTTTCTTTTCTGAGAAGGAGTCTCGCTCTGTCATCCAGGCTGGAGTGCGGTGGCACAATCTCAACTCACAGCAACCTCTGCCTCCTGGGTTCAAGCGATTCTCCTGCCTCAACTTCCTAAGTAGCTGGGACTACAGGCATGTGCCACTATGCCCGGCTAATTTTTTGTATTTTTAGTAGAGACGGGGTTTCACTGTGTTAGCCAGGATGGTCTTGAATTCCTGACATCGTAATCCGCCATCCTCGGCCTCCTAAAGTGCTGGGGTTACAGGCATGAGTCACCACACCCGGCCCACTTCGGATCTTTTTAAAATGATTCTTTTGATATTATCTCCAGATCTCTATAGAACGTGCTAATATTGTTCCACTTTGACTGTTTCAGGTTTAGGCGTTATTTATTGACATCCCACTCCAGAAGAGAAGGGTTTAGATCTCTTTCTTATACTCATAGCCCATCTCCTCCTTTTATAGGAGAGGAATGTCCACCAAGGTGAAGTGTCCTGTCCAATGTCACATTCCCACTAAGAGGAGTCCCACCACATTTACCATTAATTTACCATTAGCGCCGTGAACTTTGGGAATCTCAAGTCTCCACAGTCATTGGAGTAGTTAGGTGGGGAAATCCAGATCCCCTAGAGTATCTGATGAGTATTATGGACCTCTCTCCGTAAAAATTTCCCTAAGCTTAGACACAAAATTTCATGTACAATTCATTTTAGAAGGTCCACAGACCCCCCTGAAACCAGCTATGGGCCCATTGGGAGTTGAGGGTCCCAAGATCAACCTCCCTTGAATTTGTAGCTGGATGAAAACATTCAGAACCATGGGGAAACCAAACTTGTTTACTGCCACCCATTGCTGAAACAACAGTGAAAAAAAAAAAATAAAGAAGGCATTGCTTTAGAACCTCTTCTGGGCATTTTCCTTCAGTCTTTTGTGGAAGGGGTTCACTATTAAGATGTCACCACGGACTTTAGGGATATAACAAGCCAGATCATTGCCTGGTATTGGGCAGAGCAGTTGGAGGCCCAGGATGTAAAATTTCACAAGTAATAGAAGAGCTCACCCTTACTTTTCCCCTGAGGAGGCACAGGCCACTCCAGTGATCCTGGAGGCCACTAGAAATATATCTGCTGCCCGAGCACCGGGGCCTGCCAGCAGTTTGCATTGCACCTGCTCCCGTTCAAATCATAGCCTTACACCCTATGTCTTCTGCTACCCTCCCCAGAGCGTGCTAATCGAGGTTTTTCCCCATTGTTGGAGCTCTCATCCTCAGAGGAGGCCTCAGCATCACACTCCAGAAAGCTCGGGGCTAAAGTCATAGAGTGGACATCTGGGACTGCAAGGCCTCGGTGGTGACACAGGATTGGGACTCGCTGAAAGGCAGCAGCCTCCAGAGCAACATTTCCTGCCCTTCTCTCTGTGAGTGAGCTGGCTCGGGGCTCCAGGCTTGGCGCTTTGGGTATAAACGGCAGTTTCTGGAGGGGCTCAGGAGCCAGAGGGCTGGGAAGAAGTGGCATTGTAAAACGAAGGTGAGGTTAGCGAGTCAAAGGGATTCATTGGGTGAGGATCAGGGCCCCAGCTCATATCTGACCTCAGGGAGACTCTCTAAAAGTGTGTGTGTGTGTGTGTGTGTGTAAAAGCATGCTTTATTCAGGAATAGTACCCCCTGGTTCCCCACCAGAAGTCTTAAGAACAGAAGTCTTAACGGAATTAAACTGATTCCACAGGCAAAGCCAGGCCAAGGCCTTGGTGGTGTCCAGAGGGAGCAGGCCCCTCCTGGAGGGAAACAGTTTCCTTCCAAGGAAAGTTATCTGTTCCATCAGGGAAGCCTGTTAGAACCTGCAGACCCAGCTGGCACTGGGCAGGGAGGTTCCCCTGGAGGGAATGCCTGGAGAAAATGGTATTTATTAAGATCCATGTCAGAGGTTCTGGGCCCTGCCTGCTTCCTGTGCTGGATGCTAGAACTTTCCCTGAGTAACCATCACCTGGGTAGCCCGAGACTGCCTGGTTCTGCACACCAGGTTTGGGCAGGGCAAGCTCTGCAGAATTCAGCGAAATGCCGTCCAAAGCCATAGTGACTAAGAATTCGAAGGGTGTCTCTAGAAGACACTTGGCTTCAGCTTATTATGCTCCCTCCCGGGCCCCTGACATTGTTCTTGAACATTCTCCAGTGCTTGAAGTTTAAATGCGCCAGGCAGAGGGCAGACCACACTTTGACCTCCGTTACTCAGCTGAACTCCTCTCCACCCCCAACCTTGGGTTCATATTGACATTCTACACCTCAGTGATTTTTGCTTTGACCTGTCCTCTAAGGCAGTTAAAGACCCAAGGAATCTGCATGAGAACTTACAGAATAAAAGCTGTGTTCTTAGAACCCACAGGTAGGCAGGCTGCTTCCTCAGAGGTGAAAGTGGAGTTTTGACTGCAAGCTTCCCCCACCCCAACTTGGAGAATTGGGAGCAATGAGGAGGAGGGAAAGGGAGAGGGGGTTGAGAGGAGGGAAAGTAGGGAAGAAAGGAAGGGGAGGAAGGGAGGGACAGGACAGGCAGGAAAAGAGAAGGGAGCGGGAGCTGCCCGAGTGAGGGGAGCAACCAGTCATAGGAAAGAGGGACAACTAAGGGCTGGTTCTCGCTTTTGTCTTGGCATAGCTTAGGACTAAAGAGATTTCCAGAGAAACTTCAGTCTCAGTGCAGCTTTCATAAAAGGAGAATGCATGTAAAGTTTGTGGTTTTAAAACTTGCTTTTCACTTTACATCACTCCCACCTACCTTCTGTTTCTCCCTGACCAGATGAGGGAGATAATATCAAGCATATCATTCCAGCTAGTCCACTGGAATTTAATTAAGAGTTATCCACAGCCTGGCTCCTCTGCCCCTTCCCAGGGGCACTGTGACCCCCAAGAAAGGAGGCTCAGAGCTTTTATGCTACTCACCAGGTCACATTTCCCACCACCAGTGCCTAGCCAGAGAGAATCCATTTTCCGCCATTAAAATCACTTTCAGTTCAAAATCACTTTCTTATTCCAAAACATTTACGAGCCAGCCTTGGCTGCACACATGTTAACTCACTGGCCCCATGTGAACCCACAGTTTAGGTCCCCCCTGCCACCTCTTCCTGCCACCCCACTCAGCCTCTAGCTTCCAGCCCCTCAGCCTCCAGCCCTTTGGGATTTAGTGTTCTAATTACAATCAGAAATAAGGTGTGTATGTGTGTGTGTGTGCGTGCGCACACATGTACATTAAGCATAGTAGAGCCCGCCTGGAGAAAACCAATGATTAAGAATGAGATGCATCATCCCTTTGACTTGTAGGTAAGACTTAATGGTAAAGATCCTCCAAAGAAAAGCGCCTATCCACCGTCTGCGAGTTCTGCACTGGGACACAGGAAACCTTTCTCTGTGCTTCCCCTACTCAGAATGCCGCAGTAACCCTTCTACTTTTCTGCACGTGGATGGGGAACACTGTTTTAAATCTTGGCTTGGCGTCTCTTTCCTGGTTAGCAAGTTCCCAAGCCACATCTTCAGAGCTGGCGTTGCTCGGGAGTACACGCAAACACTTTAACCCCAAATCTGCGCCACGCGCCACTAGAAAGCAACGTGCTTCCCGCAAAGGAAGAGCGGAGCATCCTTTCTTGAGAATGTGCTATTTGATACCACCCCTTCCCAGCGCCCCCCAGCAATGATTTTACTTTATCATTGAAGAGCCTTTAGTCCAGGGGCGGCTGAGCGCTCAGGAGTGTCAGGAAAGAAGCAGGCGGAAACTTTACCGTTCACGGGGGCTGGGCTGGAAGGCTGTTCCTTTAAGATCACCAGCAGAAGCACGGCCGCCGCCGCGTGCAGGCTGCTCCGGGGCATCTTCGCGGGCTCCTGCGGGGCGGGCTCCTGCTGTCCCGGGGGCTCCCAGGGGCGGCTCGTGCTCTGGCAGCACACCAGGACCGCGTGCGCGCAGCCCGTGTGCCTTGGCTAGCACGTCCGCTCTTCGCGCTCCTGTCTCCCCTCCCCGGGGCTGCTTTTATGGAGCAACTCAGCCCCAAACACATGATGTCATCATGCGGGGGGTGAGGTGGGAGGGGAGAACGCCCTGCCCACCGGAGGGCTGGCGCCCCAGATCCTAGGTGAGTTGTAGCCACCACTTCAGCCGCGTTCTGCGGGTCCTCGGCGCTCCTCCGGGCCAGGGCTGACCTCGGAACCCAGTTCCGCCAGGAGCTGTTGACAGGCGTGGGTGAGATCCGCCTGCCTCGCCTCTGGAAGTGTGCTTCTAGGGATCCCTTCAGTGGCATGCCCTTGCTCTGTCACTGGTCCTGTAACAGCCCAACGAGTTCACCTTGCCCGCTGCTTAGACAGAGCCCATTAATCAAGGCAGGGTGCAATGGAGAAAGTAATTACGCAGAGCCTGCTGTGCCAGAGGCCGGAGGTTTTCGTTTGTTTGCTTGCTCGCCTGCTTGTTTGAGACGGAGTCTCGCTCTGTCGCCAGGCTGGAGTGAAGTGACACAGCTCACTGCAACCTCCGCCTCCCGGGTTCAAGCGATTCTCCTACCTCGGGAGAGTAGCTGGGATTACAGGCGCACATGCTAATTTTTCTATTTTTAGTAAAGACGGTGTTTCACCATATTGGCCAGGATGGTCTGGAACTCCTGACCTCAAGTGATCCACCCACTTTGGCCTCCTAAACTGCTGGGATTCCAGTACTCAAATCAGTCTCCCCAAGCATTCCAGGAGCATTTGTTTGTTTGTGTGTTTTGTTTTGTTTTTGAGACAGAGTCTTGCTCTGTTGCCAGGCTGAAATGCAATGGCACAATCTCTGCTCACTGCAACCTCTGCCACCCAGGTTAAAGTGATTCTTCTGCCTCAGCCTCCTAAGCAGCTAGGACTACAGGCATTCACCACCACACCCTGCTAAGTTTTTGTATTTTTAGTAGAGGCAGTGTTTCACCATGTTGGCCAAGATGGTCCCGATCTCTTGACCTCATGATCTGCCCGCCTCGGCCTCCCAAAGAGCTGGGATTACAGGCATGAGTCGCATCGCCCAGCCTCCAGGAGTTAAAGATAATTTGGCGGGTAGGGACTTGGGATGTGGGGAGTGCTGATAGGTCACGTTGGAGATAGAATCATAGAGGGGTTGAAGTAAGCTTTTATTGCAGTCTTCTGTTCCTGGGTGGGATCACAGAACTGGTTGAGCCAGATCATACATGGTCTGAGTGGTGTCAGCTGATCCATCCAGTGCAGGGTCTGCAAAATATGATCTTAGGTTTTATAGTAGTGATGTTATCCCCAGGAGCAATTTGGGGAGGTTCAGCATCTTGCAGCCAGAAGCTGCATGTCCCCTAAACGATAATTTCTAATTTCATAGCTAATTGGTTAGTCTTACATAGGCATACTGGTCCCCAGGCAAGAAGGGGGTCTTTTAGAGAAAGGGCTATTATTGATTTTGTTTCCAAGTCAAACCATAAACTGAATTCCTTCCCAAGGTGAGTTTTGCCTATGCCCAGGAATGAATAAAGACAGCGTAAAGGTTAGAAGCAAGACTGAGTCGTTTAGATCTGATCTTTGTCACTGTCATAATTTCCTCAGTTCTAATTTTTGCAAAGGCTGTTTCAGCCCTACTCAGAACCCCCCAAGTACAGTGCCATTTGGGCAAAAGCCACCTTCAAGTTTTGTGTGTGTGTGTGTGTGTGTGTGTGTGTGCGCGCGTGTGTGCGAGCGCATGCCTGTCTGGACTGGCCACAGACTAAGGAACTGGACAAGACAGCTGCGTTCACATGAGTTTCCGCCAACTGCTCAGAACATCCTGATTAGGTTCTTACCTTCCAATTTTAGATGCAGAGAGATTAACTGAGAATAGGACAGCACAGTGGGGTACACATGAAGAGCTTACTACAATTCCCCCTGGTAACTGATAAGTAGATGGGACTCATGCTAGTTCATTACATCATTCTGTCCTCACTAGAAAGCTGGGGGAGAGGGTCCCTCTTCTGGGATGGCAGCAGAAGAAAGGGACTTACATAATTTACTGACTACCTGTTGTGTATCAGGTACTTTTTTGGGGGCTCAGAACACAATACCCCAAAGTACGGCACCTTGGTGTGCTAAGTACTTTAAACTGAAGGAAACTGAAAAGGCCTCAGAAACAAGGTCTCTCTGACCTTCTCCCATCCTCCTATCTCCTGCCGCTCCCATTAAGTGAGTCATAGAAACCAGAATTCCTCTTCCCCAGGCAGGTCATAGAAATTAGAGCCCCTCTTCTGCACAGCAAGCCAGAAAACCTAGAAAGGTCACTCTCTCCCCTCTCCCTTCTCCCTTAAGGAGCCTCATTCAAGAGGGGCCCTGCCTCATACCCGGGAGAAAGCAGTTCTACACAGAGAGTCCGAGAAGAATCTGAACAGACAGGATTTGCTGGATTCCCCCTCAATCTAATTGATATCATACCCTCCTGTTCAATCACATTTCTATACGGCCATCCATATTCTTCATCAAACCTAAGCAGAAAGAGTTCTCTGCAAGTCTTTGCATCTTCATTTCTGAAGTCTCTTGTGTCACGTAAAACTGAGATAAATACATTCATTGTGCTTTTCTCTTGTTAGCCTGTCTTTTGTTATTTGAGTGTCAGCTGTGACCTTTCTGATGGGAGAGGAAAGGGATCCCAGCTTTCCGCCCTGCAGGCTCTACTAGACCTTGTGTATCTTGGTCTGGACCAGTGTCCAAGCTCTGTTTCCAGTGCACGTTATCATCACCTGTTGCTCACCTCTGCCCACTTTTCTCACATGTCTGAATGCTTTGAAATGTGTGCTCCATCTGGTCATATACATGTGCTTCTGATGCGTTTTATATTCAACCCATGTCCAATTGTTAAGTCAAAGGTCTTGTTGACCTGCTACGCTTTATACCTCCTACATCTTCCCACTGCTGTTACCACCACTGTAGTCATTCGTGCTTCTGGCTTCCCTGGGCCCTCCATGTGTCTCTGCATGGCTGCAGGTGCCAGGCTCAGTTTCCTTCCCCCTCTGTGATCTTACCTGCTGCTGCCTATGCGCACTGCTCAGACCACACGAGCTGCTGCAGGGTGTCCGTCCCAGCCCTGGTACAGGACCCCGGGTTTGTGACCTGGCCCATCATGCCCTCTTCTCTTGGCCACAGCAGCCAGACAGGCCCTCTCTGATCTCACGTTTGTGCTGACCCTCAGCCTGTGCACCCTCTCAGGCCAGCTTTAGTGACCAATGAAGCCCCTTATCCATGGTGGGTTTGAAGGGATGGAGTAGATTTTCCTCCAAGAGCCATCGGGAAGCAGATACCACCCACATTTCAAGCGGTGTTCCTGCTCTGTCCCTACCAGCTCACCTACTGTGTGGGTTAATAAAGGGCTTAGAAGTCTCCTTAAGAAAGTTGTTACAAAAACAATCTTGTTACAACCGCTCCAGACCACAGTAGGCTTAGGGATAATCTCTTCTGCCTGATAGAGAGCCTCGAGTGAGCTCTGGAGTAGTGTAGGAGTGTTTGTCTTGTTCTGATTTGTCATCAAGGCAGTCTGTCTGTTTAGAAGATGAAATGGACTAGAGGAACACAGAGCATGGGGAGAAACCACTGCAGGTTCAAAGATGCAGAGACCCCACCTGTGAAGGTGAAATCACTTGTTGCACGTGTCATGACTAGGTAAAGGTAAACTGGGCCACCTGGGCCACGTACACACATTTTGGTGTTCCCACTCCAGGTGTTCACCCATTATGTCTGTCTAAACATTAAGTTCAGTTTCTCCTTGAACACACACATCTAACTGTTCTCCAGAGATTTCCAGAGATGGAGAGGTTAAAAAGGTAGAAACAGGTAGACTTCATAGACCAGTAAGGCTAGATTGTGAACTGAGTTTCATAGACAGAATGAACAGGGCCGAGATGTTGCCCACATGTCTGTGTCAGAAACTTGGTTAATTACTAAAGAATGGATGGCAACGAAAAGGGAATTGAGAATATAAACTGAGACTCAGTTACCCTAGTGCTTTGAGTGAATAATAATTATTATTACTGGATCATGGTGGGGGAAAATGAATGGGATGACCACAAGTATTCAGGTTGAATGTTAAGGATCCCCCCAGACAAACAACACAGATCCAACCAGCTTAAGTTCCCAACTCTGGGACTCCTTTGCCTGCTTCCTGAGGCTTGTGCAGATGAACATGCAAGGGCTTGCCATGCCATCATCAGTTGGGGCTGTTGTCAGCCAATAAATAACCCATTGCTCAATGAGTTGGGATAGAAAGTACACCTTCTGCACTCAAAATGTGGCAACTGGCCACCAAATGACGTGCCTAGACAGGGAATGGTGCCCCCTAGGATGTTACCATCTGAATAGACACGAGGGCGAGGCTGGTAAGTCAAAGGACAGAGGAGCAGGAATGAACAAAGATTTGGTGTCAGGAAGTCTGGGCTGGCTGAAGTGCCTGCCCCACCACTTCTTCACTGGCTGACCTTGACAGTGATGCAAGCTTTCCTCCTCTGTAAAATGAAGGTGTAATCCATACCCCTGGGTCATCGAAGAATTGCTATATGGCTGGAAGGAGATAAGACAAGTGGACATTTGCTTCATTCATTCATTCATCTTCTATGTGCCAGGCAGTGTGCTAGGCTCTTGGGGAGTGTACAAACATAAATCATCTCATGAATAACTATATAATGACCCTAATAAGACCAATAGAAGGTTGAGATATAACTGAGAGGGGCCCACTCTGCCCTGGGGTGCTGAGAGAGACAGCATCAGTGTAAAGATCAAACCTTTGAAATGCACAGCACATACCAGGCTCTTTTTTCCCAAACCTAATGCCATTTGGTGGCATTTGCCACAATATAGCGAGTTGTTAGCCTTTTAGGCATAAAGGTTCGTGTATAGAGAATTTTGTTTCTTAAGGTGATAATTTTATTTCTTAAGAATGAACTCTTCAAATGGTGTCACTCAGCTGGGAATGCACCTTTACATGGAGCTAAAGAAAGGACTGCTGGGAGGAAAACGGACATTTATTGAGCACCTACTGTTTGCTTGCTACTGTGCTTGGCACTTTATTCTTACAGCAATCTGCAGGGATAGTGTTAGCTTTGCCATTTTACAGATGAGGAATCTGAGGCTTGGAGAAGTTGAATCTTTTCTAGTTCATGAGGGACCCAGATTATTTTGTCTCCAAGGCCCAGGCAGGCTCTTTCCATGGCTGTCCTACAGATACCTCAGATGGGGACATTTTCTTACTGGGTCCCTCTGAGAGAAGGATTCTCCAGTTTTCCTTCTTTTCTTTTCTTTCTTTTTTCTTTGGACAGAGTCTTGCTCTGTCTCCCAGGCTGCAGTGCAGTGGTGCAGTCTCGGCTCGCTGTAACCTCCGCCTCCTGGGTTGAAGTGATTCTCCTGCATGAGCCTCCTGAGTAGCTGAGACTACAGGCTCATGCCACCATGCCTGGCTAATTTTTGCATTTTTGGTAGCGACAGCGTTTTACTATGTGG